GTTGTATTATGAATAGAAAAAAATTTTATTTAGAAAATTAAATTTTTTCTCAAAATCCTCGAGGAAGATGTAATGCCGGCCTTAGTTATTAAGTTTAAAATAGGCTTAATTATAATTTTAATATTTGTAAATATAAATCATAATATTTTAACTAATTATTGATAACGAAGAACTATGCAGTTAAGTAGGTTACCGGTATTGACACCTAAGCAATATGAGGTAATTTGTTTAATTAGATAGTTTTTCCAATATAGACTGCAAGGTTCAATGAAAGAACGAATGCAGTAATTCTTTTGAAATGTAACCCATATTCAAGTTAAAAATAAAGGATGATATATATATTCGATTCGACTTTGGTTTCATTAAATAAATAGAAGATAGTCTCCTGTCATAACATTACAATAGATGGGCATCCTCCACTACCAAGTAACTTTAATCTTGCTAAAAAGAGGTTAGAGAGCACTCTTAAAAAGTTAGAAAGTTCTCAAATGGTGGGAGCTTATGATCTTGTATTTAAAGAATGGGAAAAAGAAGGCATTATAAAGGAAATATCAGAAAGTACTCCAAATAATGCTACCCATTATTTGCTACATCACCCTGTGATTAAAGAGAGTAGTTTAACTACTAAAATTCGGCCGGTGTTTGACGCCTCGTCTCACGAAAAAGGTAAACCTTCGTTGAATCACTGCCTTGAAAAGGGACCTAATCTTCTAGAAATAATTCCTTCTATCTTAATACGCTTTAGGCAGCAAAAATTAGGAGTAGTGTCAGATATTCGCAAGGCATTTCTTCAAATTGGTTTGCATAAGACAGATAGAGATTATCTTAGATTTTTATGGATCAATGATGAAGGCAACCCAAAGGTTTACCGCCATCGAAGAGTGGTATTTGGGGTTAACAGTAGTCATACTTGCTAGGAGCTACAATAAAATACCATCTCGCTGAGAAAATTAAATTATTAACTCCCAATCCAAACCATTCAGTTGAAATAATTCAGCAATTAGGAAACAGCTTTTATGTAGACAATTGTGTCACTAGTGTTCCAAATTATGCTGACTTAAAAAAATTCATCGATGTGGCCACTTCTGTAATGATCGAAGGCAAATTTGATCTCAGAGGGTGGGAGTATACACAGTCTGAACATATCGTTGGTTCTACTTCTGATATAACTCCGGTGCTTGGTCTAGTTTGGAACACAAAAGATGACACATTATGCATTAATGAGGAGTGTTTAAAAGGAGTAGCTGATATTCGGAGTGAAAATATTACTAAGAGACATATTCTGTCAATTGCACAAAAAATACTTGATCCAATAGGGTTTACTTCACCTGTTTCACTTTTACCCAAACTATTGCTGCAGGAAACGTGGGAACAAAAAATTAGTTGGGATTCACAAGTAGGTGATGAAATGGTAGCTAGGTTTATGTCATGGATCAAAGAACTAGATAAATTATGCAAAATTAAAATTCCTAGGTGGATCTTCGGTGGAATATTCGAAGCGACTCATTGGAGTCTTCATACTTTTTGCGATGCAAGTCAAAAAGCTTATTCCACTTGCATTTTTCTAAGAGTTGTTAGCGATGGAAAATGCCGAGTGTTTTTGTTAGCAGCTAAATCTCGTGTAACGCCCATTCATAAATTGTCTGTTCCACGTTTAGAGCTCTTGGCTGCAACTATTGGGGCCAGATTGTATGCAACAATCATCAAACAGTTTAAACAATCGGTAAAATCTTATTTCTGGAGTGATTCTTCCACGGTATTAGCTTGGATTAGGCGCAAAGAAGAGTGGGGAATTTTTGTTTGGTATCGTGTTACAGAAATAAAAGGTTTAACAGATAGTGATTCTTGGAGACATGTCCCTGGATCCCTTAATCCGGCAGATTTGCCATCTCGGGGTTGTGATGCTCGGTCTTTATTAGAATCCCGATGGTGGGAGGGACCCGAGTGGCTGTATGGAGAACCTAATTCATGGCCTACAGAAGAGATTGAATGCGATGAATCTGTCATTGCTTTGGAGAAAAAGAAAAAGGTTCATTCTTCATTAGCTTTCTGCAACTCAGACTACTGGCATATAACATATTTCTGGCAATATAGTAAAATCACGCGAATGATTGCTTGGGTTTTAAGATTTATTTTTAATTTAAGAAATGTCAATACAAAACTGCAAGGTCCACTGACTGCTGAAGAAGTTGATAAAGCTGAACTATGGATACTAAAAATCGTACAGAATGAATCGCTTGACACAATAAATGACAAACGTTTGTCCGATTTACATACGATCACTGACGATTTCGGTTTAATCCGGCTTAAAACTCGAATCAGTTCTCGGAATGACACGTTAGACTTTCGTTTTCCAATAGTTTTACCCGGGAAACATCCGATAGTTAGTCAGTTAATATTACACCATCATAAGAATTCTTGCCACGTAGGTACAGAAGGGCTGTTAGGTATTCTTCGTGAGCGGTTTTGGATTCTTGGCGGTAGACGTTCTATTCGGTCGGTGATTACCAAATGTGGAATTTGTAGAAGACACAAGTCTAAACCTCTTCAAGTGGTAACGCCTCCCGTTACCATTTAATCGGGTCAGAGACGCAGTTACGTTCGAAGTTACCGGGGTCGACTTTGGGGGGCCTTTACACTTAAAATCAGGCGAAAAGGTATGGGTTTCTTTATTCACGTGTGCCGTGTATCGTGCGATACATTTAGAACTCGTTGGGTCATTATCTACGGCGAGTTTTATACAGTGCCTTCGTCGGTTTGTCGCTAGACGTGGACGCCCAAAAATAATTTACAGTGACAACGGCACAAATTTCGTCGGTACCGAATACGCATTCAGTAAACTTAATTGGGAAGAGATTGCAAGCTTTTCTTCAGTACAACGCATAAAGTGGCGGCTAAACCCACCCACAGCGGCATGGTGGGGTGGATTTTGGGAACGTCTAATCGGAGTTTTAAAAGGTTTATTGCGTAAAGTTTTAGGAAAAGCATCTCTCAGTTACGAGGATTTGTTGACTGTTATATGTGACTGTGAAGCTATAATTAATGCTAGACCAATTACATATGTATCTGCTGACTCTACTGATTTAGCCCCCCTCACTCCTGCTATGTTTTTACGCGACCAAGCTGAAGTTGGTGTGCCAGACTGCGATCTAATTGACCAGTCATCAGCATGTCGCAAATTAAAACATAAACAGAAATTAAGAGAAGATCTTCGGAAGAGATTCAGAAGCGAATATTTAGCTCAACTTCAAGTATTTCAGAAGAAGAAAAAATCAGATACAAAATTACAGGTTGGCGACGTTGTTCTGGTAGGCAATGACCATGATAAACGGTTGAATTGGCCATTTGGTCGAATTATAGAATTTATCGAAGGCAGAGATAACGAAGTTCGCTTAGCACGGGTTAGCACTTCAAGAGGCCAACTACTTCGACCACTGCAAAGGTTATATCCTCTCGAATGTGCTGAAAAATCAGAATTTGATGTTAGAGCAACTAGTTTCCGGGAATCTGACAAGCCATGTAAGCGAGAACATCAGGTGGTGGATGAGCTCAGGAAACAAGATCAGATCTCATCGGAAGACTCTACAAGCGATAGTACGGGAGTGGCTGGTGTTAGCAAGGACATCGAAAACAGTGTACCTGATAATGTCTATGTCACAAAACGGGGTAGAGTAGTTAAACAACCCGATCGATTTATCCCTAATATGTGAACTGTTTTTTTATTATAATTTGTAATGTATCCAGCATGTCTTTATTGTTGAGTTGCATTGTTAATACCCCCAAGGTGGGAGGATGTTGGAGACATGCTGTATATAATTTTAATAAGTTGTCAATTTTGACTGATAATTTTTGTAGTAAAAGTCAATAAACGTTCCTTCGAAGTTTCTTCTGTAATTATAGAATTTTATTTTATGAAAAAGATCCTGGTGACCGAGGAACAGCGGGTAGCAGTTTCTGGCGGTTCACAACAATTGTCATTAGAAAATTTAGATAAAAAGTCAAATCGGAAATTAATAAAAAGATTCAATTGTATTAAAGATAGAAGCTAAATCTTATATTTAAAAGTTAAAATAAAGAAAACATAAAAAAAGAAAGGTAAAAAAAAATTATTTATAAAGTCCTAAAGCACAAAAATAAATTGGAAATAGAGAAAATCAGAGACTGACAAAGACAGGGAAAGGCGGATAAACAGCAGCAGGACAGAAGCAATAGCAGGAGCAGAGCAGCCAGGGCAGACAAGAAAATCAACAGCAGGAGCAGGAGAAGGAACAGAATAAAAAGGCAGAGAAACAGAAGATTTTTTTAATTCAATTGATTTTTAATTATTCTTATTTCTTTTATACAAAATTTATAAATTTTCTAGATTTTGAACTCGCCCAGTTTTGAGATTTGGTAGTTTTAGAATATTTTTGGAAATACATATACTAGGTTTTTCCATATTACTATATAAATTAGAAACTCATTCGGATATGCAAGATTACATTTCACGGTATGCAGAGAGTCTTTTATTCCCGCAGAGCAGATTGCGCTTATATCAAATAAATAAATTGGATATGAAATTATAATAATGTGTTATTAAATAGGAATACGGATGGGAAAATATAAGATATGTCTTGTAAAAAAATTTATTGTATTACTAAAGATTGTCCACAGAATGAATGTTTTTATTAATATAACATATAATCTTAACTATTTTAAAGAATTTATTCCTATCAATTTTAAAAATATTATTTTATTTAGCATATAATTTAATTTTTTTTATTTCCTGTTTCTTTATAGTCGATGACATTTATTTACTTCATATTTTAACATGATATGTAACTTTGTTGAGTGTCAGATACAAACCTGTATAATTATGTTCAATAAACTAGTAGTACTACCATTACTATTATTAATTATCGATTGCCAATTATCGATTATCTGTTATCGATGATCGATTATTGATGTTCGATTATTGATGATCGATTATCGATTATTGATTATCACTTATCAATTATTTATTATTTATTCCATAAATATGGAACATTATCACATCTAGCGTCATTTACATTACTCTGCAAATCAACAAGACACATGTCTGCATGATTAATGACATTATCACCTAAATTTGAAACACCATCAATATTTTTTAACCGCGATGTGTAATCGGGGATACTACGACTTTTTTTAATTTCCACTAAATTTATTATTTTATTCGGTTCGAATCCTAAAATTTCGAGTACTTGTTTAGGATTTTCAATGATGTACCGTCGTATTATGGTAACAAGAGATTCAGTTTGAGTCTCGGAATCAATATACGTTCTTATCGGCTCAAAGGGAGGTGATGGTGGTCCTTCCCAGCAGAACATTTCTGGTGGATGAGAGTTACTTCTGGCTAACAGTTCGTTGCCCGAAGGACTGTGATGAAATTGGGCTATGTTAGGATTTGATTGAGCTGAGTAATTAATGACTGACGTGTTACAGGAGGATGGAGTAACCATTTCTTGTAGAGCCTGGATAGCATTTCGTACCTGCAAAATAAGTATTTAAAATTGCAAAGAGAATGTATAATTATGTAATTTTAAAGGTAAAAATTTCGACCTCGAAATGAGTTCCTTGTTGTAGGTTTGAAAGTTAAGTCTTTGTAACGAGATGTGTGCAAAGGCATTGTTCGAATGTGGTGGTTTTAACTAAACATGTTAATGGTTGAGAGATCGGGAGCGGAGTCCGAAGGAAAAAGAACTTTATGAGAGTGGGAAAAGAACTCTTGTGTTTTAAGAGAATATCTAATTAGTGTTTTAGAATTAACTAGAGTGAAATTTGTTAAATTATTTTAGTTTCATTGAGTGAAAGAGAAAATGCTGCAATATAAAAGATAGAATATACTGTAAAAGGTCTTTACAAAAACATACCACATATTCTTTAGATTTCCTTGCGCAACTCATTTACTTTAAAAAAAGGTACTCTTGATAAGACTCGATTAGTCTAATGGTTTTCGCTAAATTTCTGTTTTAATAATTTAGAGTGTATAGGTCTCACAAAAATATTTATTTACAACATAATCAAAATAGAGATTTTACAAAAATTATTCAAAATGTTTACCATTTTCACGCATACAAAGACTTATACGTCGAAGAAAATTAAAATGTATCCTTTCCATAACTTCTTCATCACCTCTAAGATTGTTTATTGCATCTTGAATACGTTGCCAGAGTTGTTCCTCATTTTCTACAGGTTCCCTGTAAACTGTGGATTTCAGATGTCCCCATAAAAAGTAATCCATCGGTGTTAGGTCTGGGGAACGTGGTGGACAGTTTACAGGTGCGTCATTACCTCTGCCTATCCATTTGTGTGGATATTGTTCATACAAGTGGTTTCTAACGTTTAAAGAAAAATGTTTAAATGAAAAATGAGATCCATCTTGCATAAACCACATATCTCTTCGAAGTTGGAGAGGTTAATCTTCTAACAATTCTGGCAACGTATTTTGTACAAAATCCAAATAATTTTCTCCAGTTAATCTTCGTGGAAGTATGACAGGAGCAACAATGAAATTACCAATTATTCCAGCCCACACATTTATTTTGAATTCGTGCTGAAAATGGTTTACCTTTATTGCATGCAGATTTTCAACGCCATAAACATTTTCATTATGGGTATTAGTTATTCCTCTTCTTGTATAACCCGCTTCATCGGTAAAGAGAACCTTCTTGACAAAGTTTGGATCTCTATCTCTTTGCATATTAACAAATCGACAAAAACCCAAACGCATTTGAGGATCATCGACTAATAATTCTTGTACTGGCTTCTTATGGTACGGATATAGCAATTGTTCTCTAAGCACTTTATGAACGACATCTTTACTTACTCCTAGTTCCCTTCCAATTCGTCTGGTGTTTAATTCTGGATCTTCTTCAACACATTCTAAAATGTCTTCTTCAACTTTAGGAATCCTTACAAAACGTTCTCTTCCATTATCAACAGTGTTGGGAGCAAAGGAACCGGTCTCCCGAAGACGTCTCTCAACAGCAGCAAAAGTTGGGTGGCTAGGTACACGACGATTTGGAAACCTTTCAGAGTACACCCTGACACTCTCTCGAGCATTTCCTTCACAAAATCCTAATGTCAGTAACATATCGGTATATTCTGCATTGGTATATTGTACAGCCATAATAATAAACCACGCATTTGTTTTTTTAATTATTGAGTCAGATAGAACACTTTCAATCGTTAACAAGAGAATAGGTGTTAAAACTTGACAATATTTTTATTTAGATGAAACTATGGAAACCAACAATAAATGTTTTTGTATATGTATTGCAGGCAAATAATTAATATTCCTCAAAAAATCGTACATGGCAAGAATCGAGTATTTTTGTTAAAAGTCTTGATTAGAGGTGTTGAAGAAGATATGAAAAAAGTACATTTTTATAATTTTCATCGTATAAAATTTTGTCCCATAATAATACATAGGTGTAGAACTTGATTTTTTAAATAATTGCACCTTTAAAAATTCTACGCCAATGGCAAAAAAGGGGTTTGAGTATGAAATTTGGATTGGGTACTCATTTACTACAAAAAAGTACCCTTGATAACACTCGATTTACTCTCATGGTTTTGACAAAGTTTGTATTTTAATTATTATTGTTTATGTTCTAAAATTACTAAAATGCAAATTTCGTCAAAACCATGAGAGTAATCGAGTCTTATCAGGAGTACCGTTTTTAAAGTAAATGAGTTGCGCAATCTAAATTTCATACTCAAACTCCTTTTCTTTCATTGGCGTAGAATTTTAAAGGTGCAATAATTTAAAAAATCAAGTTCTACGCCTATGTATTATTATCGGACAAAATTTTAATACCATTTTTTGCCACATAAAACTCTACCAATATTCCAAATTTCAGCAAAATCGCATATGCCGTTTTAAATTTATATGGGAAAAACGATTTAAAAATGTACTAAGGTATACTTAAATCGACTTATTTTGGTCCAAGGAATATGTGGTATGTTTTTGTAAAGACCTTTTACAGACACCCTGTATAAATGAATGTGGTTCGGTTGTTATTCTTACTGGCTACGTGATATTTCGGACATGTTGAAGGCAATATATTTAGCTTGTACAATATCTAGAGCTATTCCAAATTGTTATTTTTTGAGTGTGTTAAATAGATAGGCTCGTAGCGGTTTGTGAAATGTTTACATTTAAGATTGTGTTCTGAAATTTAAATAACTAATAAGAATAATAAAAAAGACTTACCTCAGCACTAAGTGTGGCTACATCTTTGTGTAAAGTTGTAATTTCCTGGTCTAAGCTATCCATACCATTTCTGGAATTTTCCGTGTCGCTCTTTAACTCGCAATTACTTTCATCTATAGAACTAGTTTTTGATGAGCGATGTTGCGCATTTACGTTGTGTTGTCGTTCCACCCTTTGTCTAAGCAGAGCTAAGTGGCTAGTAGATATGCCACCCATTCTAGGTTTTCTTATACTTTCTTGAAATTCTTGTAATCTGCAGAAAGATAAATTGAAGTTACACAAAATAAATCCTGATCCACATTTTAGTGTTTATGTATTTTCCGAAATAATACGATTAAGGGTAAGTTTCTAACGTTTAAACTAAAAAGTATAAATACTTTCAGATGAAAAGCCTCTGCAATGTTAATATGCTACTTAAATAGATTGTAACGGTTTTAATATATTCAATCATGGCTGCAATTATATTTTCTAAGAGATTAGGTTGTTTTTTTTTTGGTTTATTAATGGTAATATTAATTTTAATTTTTGTGATACTGATAATAACGTATAAAATTGTACGATAGAATTTTGATAATTTAAATGAGTTTTACAGAAAGTGAAAACTATGTATTGTAGAAGAATATTTAAGGTCACAAGTTCTGTATCCAGTCTGAAATAATTTTTTTGTTCCACCTGTGTAATATATTAGTTTTTTTTACTTTCTTAAAAACTACTTAATAAATCCACCAAACTAAAGACTTCTGCTCACCTTGAATTTAATTTGACGTGTCTAGGACTATTAGAGAGTATATGCAATGGCGACCTATTTGGTGATAAAGGGGACGTTTCACCTTCTTCATTTGCATTCTCGTCATCCTCACTAATACTTGGAAGAGTAAGAGTTGGATTTCCATTTCCTTCAGACTCCGCCTAAAAGTAAAAAAGAACGTCATGTACTGGGCGAGTTGGGAGAAAAGGAACAAATTCAAAGAGTGTAGGTAATATAGGTATACGTAAAAATATTGTAAAAAATTGCATCCCAAGATAAAATTTGTTCTAGTACAACTTGATTCTCGTCCTACTATACGATGTCACAAGGGTCGTTTTAAGAGGAATTAAGGAAGTTGGGATGTCAAAACCATGTGTTTTGATATCTTAATCGGTAAAAACATGGACGGCTACAGTCCGAAAATTTCAGGTTCAATCCATAGTCGATGCATTCATTTTTTTGACTTTAGTTCTCAGCTTTTTCTATTTTTTTTTTATTGGTTTTCATAAACAAATCAAACGTATATATTTTACGGTTTTTCGGTTTTTATATAAAAACCACGCACTTTGATGGAAAATTTCATCAAGGCAAAGTCATAGAACGAAAAATATCCTATCAAACCTATGAATTAGAAACCTATCGTTTCCGTCGCTACAATGCAGCAAAAGAATATATATTGTGGAACAAATTGTATAATACTTTATATTAACGACGTGTTCGAATAGCACGTCGCAATCTATTTTATAATTGGGGTCACACTATGTTTTGTTTTAAAGCAAAAAAAAAACACGATTTGTTCGAGCGAACCACAAATTTTAAATTTCCTTGAAAATAAATATTTCTTACCAACTGCTATGGCGAATCGTAGACAGAAGGGGCCCCCCTGATATCTGTAGACTCCAACACGTTATTTTCTTGAAAAACACATATATTTTTATACCGATATGATCAGTTATACCGGCACGGCAGACACAAAAATTTCTTTGATGAAGCGATCCGAATAATAGTCTCGAGTGAGTAAATGCGACGATCACGACTCTTCACGTAACAATGGCAAAGTGACGCTAATTTTTTACACCCTGTCCAAACGACAATCAGGTCTATTGTTTTTTCGCGGGAACACTAATTCTGTTCAGATAGCCGGAAATGAAGGTGATTGCAGCGCTCTCGATGCAACACTTTGTAACGGTAAAAAAAATAGTCCGGGCGATTAAAGTATTTATAGTCCGGTTACTTTATAAAACCGGAACATTCCGCCCACCAAATAATGAAATTATTTCCGACAATACAAACGGACAAATAATTACCTTGGACTCTTTCTTTCAACTAACTAAAACTACTAACATATATACAATAATCAAATATTTATTTATTCAAAGCTATTGAGAAGGGAGAGGACAAAGTTTAACTAGAGGTCGATCTAAAATACCGGTAGAGGTTTTAACTTTAGCTACTCTGCAATTCCCATCCTTTCCGAGGGTTAATTCTATTATACGAGCCAATTTCCATTCTAATGGTCGCAAATTCGATTCTTTGATTAAAACTAAGCTTCCTATTGAAGGGGCCTTTTGAGAAGTGGTCCATTTACTTCTTTCTTGAAGGATATGTAAATATTCTAGATGCCAACGTTTCCAAAATTGTTGTACACTACTTTGCACCAATTGCCACCTTGTCAACCGGTTGAGGGAGACCTCGCTGACATCCTCACCAGGTATACTTCCGACGGGTCCAAAAGTCAAAAAATGACTAGGACTTAATGACGAAATATCATTTGGGTCATCACTAACACTACATAAAGGACGAGAATTAAGAATACTCTCTATTTGCACAAGACGAGTATTAAACTCTTCAACAGTGAGTGTCTGTTTGCCAATTACTCGCTTTAGATGAGTTTTCACAGATTTAACCCCAGCTTCCCACAATCCTTCAAAATAAGGACTGGAAGGGGGATTGAAATGCCACTTTAAGGCCAATTGTTCTTCACACTGCTTAGCGTATAACTGTAACATATTCCATGCCCCAACAAAATTCGTGCCGTTGTCACTGTAAATATCAGTGCATTGACCTCTTCTTCCAACAAATCTACGTAATGCACCTAAAAACGCCTCTGAAGTCAAATCACTCACAAACTCTAAATGGACGGCTTTGTGACACAGCAAACAAACAAGCATATATAACCATTTGTAGTACGAGCACCTCTATATCTCGATATTAAGTTTGAAAATGGGCTTGCAAAATCGACCCCACACAGAAGAAATGCTTTACCTGTTGATATAGTATGAAATCATGGTAAATTTCCCATCAGCGGTTGAAGAGGCATTGGATTTACCCTAAAACACGAATTAAACCTTGAGATAACGTGACGTATCGCACGTTTAAACGACATTATACAAAACCGTTGAGAAATGAGATACTGCAATGATTGACTCCCTGAATGAAAATATTTTATATGATAATGTATAATTATCAATTCTATTAATCTATGTTGTCGAGGCAAAAGATGTTGTTCATATGCCTGTATGTAATCCAGTGTCCACTCTTTACATACTATGTCTATATGTTATATATACTAACAATTGTGATTTGTCAATAAAATGTTTTTCTTTTAACGTCACTCATAAGATTTGTTCTCCTGCATATTTAACAGGTTATGAGCCAAGCAGGCAAATAATTATAGTAAAAACGTTATTTTAAACATAATTGCTATCCATATTACCCATAAAAATGAGTAGTGCTCAATTAGTCATTGAGAAGCTGGAAGGTGTTTCCAACTGGCAAACCTGGAGTTTTGCAATGAAACATTACCTCAAGCAAGAAAAATTATGGAAAGTCGTAGAAGGATCTATGAATGATAAAGATCCTGATTGGAAAAATAGGGACTATTTGGATGAACTAGCTCTAGCGAAAATTGTTCTTCTAATTAAACCACATCTATATTCTCATGTAGAATCTGCTGCCAGTTCCAAGGAAGCATGGGATATTTTGTCAAAAACACTAGGAGATCGTGGGCTTATTGGCAGGTTAAATGTGTTACGACAGCTCTTTTCAGTTAAACTTAATAATTACAGAAATATGTCCGAGTATGTAACTGATATTGCAAGTTTAACACAAAAGCTAGCGAATATGGGCCATTCACTTGAATCCGAATTTGTTGCTGTAATATATCTTAGTGGTTTACCTAAATATTACGACCCATTTATAATGGGCCTTGAATCATCTTCAAACAAATTAAATTCTGAAGACATTAAACAAAGACTTCTGAATATGGAATTTAGATTAGATAATCAATCTGATAATACCACGGTTTTTTATGGAACTAAAAAGAGTAACTATCAGGAAAACCAGAATAATAATCAAGACAAAACTCATAATAAGTATAAGAAGAAGTACAAATGTAATATTTGTAAGAAATGGGGTGATCATAAAAAGGGGGATTGTCCACAGAAGTACGATGACTCTTCACAGAACAAAAACAACCCAAGTTCATCTAATAGCAGATCAAATGTTCAAGCTTTTATGACTTCAGCTGATTCTCAGTATGTTTTAATGGCTAATATGAATAAGAGATATGATCGTGAGTGGTTTATAGATTCAGGTTGTTCTATGCATATGTCTCTTTACAATGATTGGATGGATAATTTTAATTCTAATACTCCTTCTACTGAAGTAATTTGTGCAAATAAAGAAACGATTTTTTCTCAAGGTACAGGTGATATTCCAATACTTACTGAAACTGGTATTAAATGTGCTATTAATACTTTGCACGTACCAGAATTATCCACAAATCTTTTATCTGTTAGTAAAATGAGAGATAGAGATTTAATTTGTGTTTTTGATAATAAAGAGTGGAGAATTTACAATAAAAATGATATTCAAATTTTTGGTAAAGAATGTGCCACAGCCAGTAGATTTAATGGCATGTATAAATTAAATACCATTTCTACTTTAAATTCAGAAATTAATTATAATTCTGAATTTGTTCATACTGCTAATATAACTTGTTCAAAAATATGGCATAAGCGTTTAGGTCATTTAAATAGCAAAAGTATGAATAAATTAAAAGAACTTGTAAAAGGTATAAATTTTAAAGGAACTTTTAATGACCCCTGTGTTAGCTGTTTAAAGGGAAAGCAAACAAAACAACCATTTAATAAATCTAGTTCAAGGACAAAAGAAGTCTTAGGGCTTGTTCACTCTGATTTAGCAGGTCCGATGGAAACTCAGTCCATTGGAGGTTGTCGTTATATGCTTATATTCGTAGATGATTTTTCAAGAAAAATATTTATATATTTTTTAAAACATAAATATGAAGTTCTTGAAAAATTCAAAATTTTTAAAGCCATGGTAGAAAACGAAACTAATAAGAAAATTAAAATTCTTAGGTCTGATAATGGCGGCGAATACATAAGTAATAATTTTAACGATTTTCTAAGTGAACATGGAATTAAACATAATGTGACAATTCCAATGACTCCTGAACTTAATGGTGTAGCTGAGAGAGCGATTCGTTCCATTTGCGATAAAGCAAGGTGTATGTTAGACGAGGCTGGACTTCAGAAACAATTTTGGGCTGAAGCCTGCAATACTGCTGTCTATTTACTTAATCGATCGCCTCATAGTAGTGTTTTAAATGTCACTCCTGAGGAAGCTTGGTCAAAAATTAAACCAGATTTATCAAATCTTAAAATTTTTGGTTGTCGAGCATTTGTCCATAAACCTGACCAACTTCGACAAAAATGGGATACTAAAAGTAATGAATATCTATTTGTAGGATATTGTGAAGACTCCGTAGGATATAGAGTATACAAAGATGGTAAAGTGACGCGTGCTAGAGATGTCTATTTTCTAGAAAACTCACAACTTTCAGATAATCAGTTGCTAGCTGAAGCTTCAACATCAACTTCGTCTGTTGTCGTAAGCTTGAAGCCTATTCAGCATCAGCGACCTGAACTAAACACTTCTGAAGTGGGTGATGTCGAATCAAAAAGTACCACAGATGTTGTCTCTGAAGAAGAAATAGGTTGTAGATATCCTCTTAGAAACCGTTTAAATAATAATCATGTGCCTTATACTGACGTTCAAGAGACTCATGATCCTATAACTGTATCTGAAGCTCTTGAAGGGCCCGATAAGGACAAATGGTTACAGGCAATGTCAGAGG